CACAGCGTATGCGGAAGGGTATATTGCGACTGACATACTATGTTCAGATTCCAAGCGGAGCTCACCGTCCCTCCTTGCACGTCAGCTCCGGCTACGACTAGTTGCCGCCGAGGACTCAGACATTCCCCGTAACCTCAGCAACATCATTGTTTCCATCCATGCCATCGCCACCTTCCAGGCGCTTCATGACTACCTCCGCCCTCGGGTTGCAGGTATCATGTCCGGAGGCTCAAGGCTGTCGGGGATGCTCGCGGCGCTAGCTGCGTCTGGCTTCGCTGGTACTTCTCGCGGCATCCCTGCTGACGCGGCACTAAGCGCGTCGAAACCACCATCTCCTCCAACAGAGTCGAACGCGGCTGCATCTTCGTCATCTGCACCCGCACCAGCAGAGAGCAGTAGTCTTGGTCGTCGTCGCAGTCAGCGACTCAGCGCCAAAGCGGCAGGTCAAGGTAATGGTTCTGCAGAGGAGGGCCCTGAGCCTGACGAGCCTTCAGCTGCTGCTGCAGATCCGGCTCCTGCGCCGTCAGAGCCTACGCATCCGGCGGAATCCGCTGTCAGTGATACTGTCGTCAACGAGGATGAACCTGAGTTCGAAGCTGAGTTCAGCGATGACGATATCGACGTTGATGCTGAGGTCAGTCACCTCGACACTGAAGACTTTGCACGCGGTACTAAAAAGATTGGTTTCATAGGTGATCGACGATGAAGGTGACCCAGATAGGTCAACGGAGAAGACTGTTACGGTTTCTGTCGGTGAAGGCGAGTTGAAGCCGCTTCCTCATTCAGTCTGTGCGGCACTCATGGCGTGTAATTCAGACGGTTCCCGTGTAGTAGCTGAAACTCCGGATGGCACTCGCGTGACAACGCCAAATCCAGCCAAACCTTCCTCGTCCGCTGCATCAACATCCCGCAACCCGCCAGCAGCAAAGACCTCGTACGCGGCGGCTTTGAAAACAAAGCCAAGCGACTGGCATTTGGAATTCTATATGGACGAACACCAGCTTCCTCTCGACCTCACTATCTACGGTGCGATCCATCAACACGAAGCGAGGAGAAAGTCCAGTGGCCAAGCGTTGTCACCCAGCATGATATGGCAGAATGTATATTCCATCAAGTTCAAGAAGGTGCATGGTCCTGCACCTGCTTCAGCTAGTGAGTGTAGTTGGATTTGTTCTCGACGTGGCTCGCGCTGAAGTGCTGTCTAGACCGGGGCGACGATTTGTCGACGAGAAGTCGCTCTCCGGGACCAGTACTGTCTTCGTTGCCGGAGGATGCACCTACTGCCAAAACTCTGCGTCTTCTTCGTGTTCTGCACAAGCTGAACTCTTCGGAGTGCGAGCGTGTCGCCCCGATTGGACCCAAGCGTACCCTTCCGGAGACAGCGTTTGTTAACAACAAGCTCTCCGCGAAGTTGACGAGGCAATTAGAGGAACCCATGATCGTGGCCAGGTATGAGACGTTGTGATGTTTTGAATCTCGACTAGCACTGACATGTCATCACAGCTCGTGCTTACCCGATTGGGCATTGGATCTCCCTCAGCACTTCCCCTTCCTTTTCCCCTTCGCCACTCGATACAACTTCCTTCAGTCTACTTCCTTTGGCTACGCTCGTCTAATCCTCAAATGGCAAAGTCAACAAAGTCGCAGCCAGGATAGCTCTCGGCGGGACGACGGTGTCGGCTTCCTTGGACGCCTCCAGAGGCAGAAGGTCCGCATCTCTCGCAAGCACATCCTCGAGTCAGCGATGAAGGTGTTCGAGCTTTACGGCTCGTCGTCGTCGATACTTGAGGTCGAGTATTTTGAGGAGGTTGGAACCGGTCTTGGGCCTACGCTTGAGTTCTACTCCTTGGTCTCTCGCGAATTTGCTCGGCGAGACTTGAAGATCTGGAGAGACGCGGACCATACCATGCCCGGTCCTCATGTGCATCACCCCAGTGGTCTGTTCCCTGCACCTTTACTGAACGAGGACGTAGCGAACGATGGCGGACAGTACGTACTCTAATTTCGAATCTGAAGGCCTTGTTACTGACTGGACTGTAGGAAGCGATCGCACATTCTCCGAGTGATTGGACAATTTGTTGCGAAGGCCATGTTGGATTCCCGCATCATCGACCTCTCGATGAACAAGATCTTCATCAAGCTTATCCTCGGCGAGGAGGTGGCATTGACTCTGGACAACCTTAGGGTATGAGTTTCACCATTGATAAGTGTTCGGCTGGGCACTGAAGAATCTCCTCTAGCGTGTCGACGCCGATCTGGCGGAATCTCTTCTCAAGCTGCGTAACATGGCTGCATCGAAGGGCCAGAGTGACAAGGTATTTCGCCTTGCTCGTTTTGAGTCATTCTACATCTCACCGTGAACGTATCACAGATTCGGAGAAAACTTGGTCTAGCAGAGATAGAAGATCTTGCTCTCGACTTCACCATCCCAGGGTACGACATTGAGCTTCGAGTGAGTGTGCCCTCCCATTCCCATGAGTCCGTCACTGAGGATGGATTCTCCAGCCTGGTGGACGTGATCTGTCTGTCACTTCGGCCAACGTGGAGGAATACATCACGGAAGTGATCGACGCCATCATCGGCCGTGGTGCGCAGCTGCAAGCCAAGGCGTTCCGTGAAGGCTTCTCCAAAGTGTTCCCCATTGCAGACCTTCAGGCATTCACTGCGTACGAGCTTGTCATGCTCTTTGGCAATTCTGACGAGGACTGGAGTCTCGAGAGTGAGTTCATGCCGAGGTAATATCAGATGTAGACGTTGCTGACGACCTATCGACAGCGCTATCGGAAGCTCTGAAAGCGGACCATGGCTTCAACGCCGACAGCCGTTCTATCCGAAATCTCATTGACATCATGTCCGAGTACGATGCCCCGACGCGGCGAAGTTATCTCCAGTTCATCACTGGAAGTCCGAAGTTGCCTATTGGTGGTAAGTCCTTCTTGCGCATACGAGTCTTCCGTTTCTAACGCATCCAATAGGATTCCGTGGTCTCAACCCTCCACTCACCGTGGTCCGCAAACCGCATGAAGCACCATTGACAGCAGACGACTACCTCCCCAGTGTCATGACCTGCGTCAACTACCTGAAGCTTCCCGAATACTCGTCCAAGACGGTCATGAAAGAGAAGCTACGAGTTGCGATGCAGGAGGGCGTCGGTAGCTTCCACTTGTCATGAACCATTCTCCCCCATCTCTGTACTTTTTGCATGTCAGCATTCATGGTAGTCGTCCGCTCATCCTCATATATCTCATTCCTCCGTACATTGTCCCTCTCATCATCGCCCATTTTCCTCATCCACATTATCGTCCCTCTCAGTTTGTGTGCTGGCTGTAACTTGTTCTCGTACTAGACCTTCTCTGAGGTTCTCGACTACTAATCATCATTTCGAACTGTATCAACAAATGCAATGGACATACATAATGCAATTATCATCTTCGCAATGCTGGAGTTGGGAGGCCTAGGCCGTCTGTTATGATCGAGTCTTGTACTCTCCCGAAAGTGCAGAACACTTTACACTCGTCGAATCTCGTGTCCTCCGTCGTTCTACTACGTTCACAATAGATGAATGACCTTGCTCCCGCCGCGTCGGGCGACTTACTCGAGACCGGGCGCGTTGCTGACTAAGGCAAACGACGAGCACAAGAAGCGCCTCCCGTCTTCGGTGAGCGGCACCTCCTCCTTGACTCGCTACCACCATGTCTAAGCACCATCCCGGTACGTGTTCGCGACCTCCCTGTATTGTGGATCGAGTACTGACTATCCTTCAGATCTTATTATGTGCAGGAGACAGCCTGGAATTGGTGAGTCTACCCTTCAACGTCTTCGAACAAGGACAAGACTGAATATTCGTTGTCTGAACTGTAGCCATTGGCCGTCTGTGCGAGAAATGCGACGGAAAATGGTGCGTCTGTCCCCCCTTTTCTCTCAACGAATCTGTCGCTGACTCAGTACTGTCATGCGTAGCCCCGTCTGCGATTCCTATGTGCGCCCAGAAACACTCGTGCGTATCTGTGATGAATGCAATTTCGGTACTTACGGTGGACGATGCATCATCTGTGGTTCTCCTGGTGCGTCTCTCAGTCATCCTCGCTCTATTCGTTGTTGCTCACGGTGCATTCTGTGCTCTTTCAGGTATATCGGACGCGTATTACTGCGCTGAATGCACGAGACTGGAGAAGGATCGAGATGGGTGCCCGAAGATCGTCAATCTTGGTGCGAGTAGGACGGATCTGTTCTATGAGAGGCGGAGACTTGGTACGCCCTCCTGCTTACTCTCTAAGTGTTTTTGTTAATCACTCGTGCACCTCACCAGGGTTTAAAAAGGGCTAGCTCCCTCCCTCATGCTATGATGGGGAAAGCACCTCTCGATATTCTTTTCTGTCTGCTACAGACGTGTGTACGATAGTGTTCGTAATATATACTCGCCCACTCGCATTTCCTATTTTTGCCGCACATGTCGCACTTTTACATGCTCGACCAATGCCTGACCGTCGCGGCGTCGCGGGAGGACTATAACACAGACGGTGTTGAAATATCCTTGTCGGCCAGCAGAACACACTTCAATATTGAGTCAATGTCAGCACGACTACAGATGACAACCGATGCTAAGGTAGATGCCGCTCACTTACGGGAACTATACGTCACAGCATGACAGACCGTGACCTCCCCGCCAAAAGATTCTGCTGCGTGACAATTTGATGGATTTTGGCGTGCTCGAAGGGGGAGAATTTATGCCATCTGTGTCTCTCCTCCGTCCCCGCGCAGATATCGAAAAATCGAGAACCTGAGAAGTCACCGCAATGGATTTCTCCATCTTTCTCAGGTTCGCGATTTTTTACTGAGGCCTCGGGGCCAAAGACTATAGCCATTCTGTATATTTTCTGCGCCATTTTGGGCCAAGTGTGACTTTTCCCGTCACGCCATAGTTCCCGTAAGTGAGCGGCATCTACCTTACTGTATATGAAACTGAGTAGACTGCGGAAAAAAGAGAATGCAACAGCAACGGGCCTGGCCGGGAATTGAACCCGGGACCTCCTCCACACGTGACTTGACAGCCCTAAGAAGGAATCATACTACTAGACCACCAGGCCGACAGGAAAAGAAGAGACAGAAAGAGCTATATATCGATCTATCGCGCGTACGCGACGACGCGACGCGTCATGCGTACGACGCCCGCGCTTGAAGAGACTGTCTCTGAACGCCGCGCTCAGACTGTTTACACCGTCCTCCTCCTGCCACTATCCCACTTACCCTTGTGACCATGTCGGCGCAAGCTTCGTCGTCGTCGGCGCCGCTAGACGAGCGACGCGTCGCCGCCCTGAAAGGCTATCGAGAGGTCCGTGTTTGATACTGTTGACCTGGGTAGTTTGTACTGACTGCGGTTACATCCAGAAACTGCGACAACATGAGACTAGCAGTGAAGCGTTAAAGAACTGTGAGGAATTTTGTTGTTGACTTTTTGCTAAGTATCACTAACAGAGACCGCTTTGCCAGTGCGATTCGCTTTGAAAGATCTGGAGAAGGACTACGAGAAGACGGAAGAGGACATCAAGGCAGTTCAATCTGTCGGACAAATCATTGGCGAGGTTATGAAGCAGTTGGATGATGAGCGATGTAGGTTGTGTGTCTTCTGGGAATTCGCGAGATTTTGCTCACGAGTGGGTCAGTCATCGTGAAAGCTTCTTCCGGCCCACGCTATGTCGTATCCTTCCGACCTGCACTTCCTGTGGCGAAACTGAAGGCTGGAACTCGCGTTAGTCTGGACATGACCACACTGACCATCATGCGGATACTACCGCGCGAAGTCGACCCAACCGTGTACAAGATGAGTTTGGAGGACCCGGGAGGAGCCACTTTCGCCGGTATTGGTGGTCTGGGTGAACAGGTCCGAGAGCTGCGTGAGGTGCGTTCGACCTGTATTCTCAAGAACCCTTCTTATGTTCATGCTTATTTCACAGGTCATCGAGCTGCCTATCCTTAACCCTGAACTGTTCAAGCGCGTCGGTATCAACCCACCGAAGGGTGTCCTTTTGTACGGTCCGCCTGGAACCGGCAAGACTCTCCTCGCGCGAGCCGTCGCTGCTACTCTCAATACCAACTTTCTGAAGGTCGTTTCATCCGCAATCGTCGACAAGTACATCGGAGAATCAGCCCGAATCGTCCGAGAAATGTTCGGGTACGCAAGGGATCACGAACCGTGCGTTATCTTCATGGACGAAATCGACGCCATTGGAGGACGTCGGTTCTCGGAGGGTACGAGCGCAGATCGTGAAATTCAGCGGACGTTGATGGAGGTTCGTTCTCGCCTTGAGCTACTTTGGCAGTTGTTGATTTGGTCTCTCCCTGCAGCTCCTAAATCAAATGGACGGCTTCGACTCCCTCGGCCGCACGAAACTCATCATGGCGACAAACAGACCCGACACGCTCGACCCCGCGCTCCTCCGTCCAGGTCGTCTAGACCGTAAGATCGAGATCCCACTGCCAAACGAGCAAGCGCGGATGGAGATTCTCAAGATTCACGCCGCCCCGGTGAACAAGGGTGGTGAGATCGACTACGAGGCGATCGTGAAGCTCTCGGATGGGTTCAATGGTGCGGATTTGAGGAACGTCATTACGGAGGCGGGCATGTTTGCTATTCGGGATGATCGGTGTGTATCTTTCATTTCACGGTTCTCTCGGAAGCAGGTGTTGATGTGCCGCTTTTGCAGTGAATACATCAACCAGGAAGATCTGACCAAAGCTGCGCGGAAGGTGGGGGAAGCGAAGAAGCACGAGAGTGAGTGCGGTCTGCGTCCTTGGCAAAGCATGCTTACTGACCCGACATTGTGTAGGCAAACTGGAGTACTCGGCGTAGTATTCTTCTGCTCGCTAGATGTCTTTTCTGTTGTCGTTGTAGGACTTTCTGTGTACATTTGCGCTACGCTATTTCATGCCCTTCATCATCACCACCGGAACGTCGGGTCGCTATCATCGATTTTCTTTTGTTGAGGGTACCGTCCAAGTCTTGCGTAGCTCACGAAAAGAAGCACAGTTCGCAGCTCACACAAGTGCAACTTGTCTGTATGAGGCGGTAGATTTGCCGTGACTGAAGCTGCTCGAGGCTTCGCTTTATCAGACGGACGAGAATTGGAACTACGTGCTCTCTTCTAGTCGTGATCGGTCTTCGTTGAGAATAACTTGCGATATATATCTTGAACGACCCCATAGTACAAGCTCATAGGGATACAAGTCAACAATGTAGTACGGAACACTGACAGTACAGCACAGTAGGCGTGCTAAGGCATCCCTCGAGAAGGTGGTATCCTAGGGTTAGGGTTAGAACAGCTTAGGGACAAAAAATAAGGCCTGCCCAGCCCGAGGGGCCGGAGCAGGACAGGGAAATATTGAGACGGTGCATGAGCCGGAGCCCATACAAACCGCGGGTTTCCTCTGAGGACAAGGTCGCCGTGCTATGGAGAACCCCCGAGGCCCACGAACCCAGGTCCGTGAAGGAGCCCGTGCCATCAAGGTAAGTATGAGGAGTTTAGATGTTTGGGAGTTGGTTTATATGGGGAGAGGAGGGTGCGCACGGACCAGGTGGTGTACGCGAGGCGCGAGGCTCGGCTAATCTGGCTTGGTGGAGGAGGACGAGCCGCTAACTCGTAAATGAGTTTGAGTCTTTACGCATGCGCTGCTGATTCAACCAGCGACAACGAAACCTCATGATAACCGAGTTCGATATGCATATGGTCAAAGCACGAAAGCAAGAGTGGTACAAATACACGCAGCGATACAAAGCCCTTGTCTATGTTCATACATCCAAGTAGCTCATCAATGGTAAACGGGGAAAGGTACGACGGGTGGGCTCTGCTCAACACTTCCAATTTGCGCGAAGTCACTGGGATGCATATGTCAGTTGTCGTCTGTAGATACGAGATACTGGAATAGCGTACCGGAACTGATCCATGTCAATCTGGAAAACAGTATATCGTCAGCAACAGGCGCAGCGGCAGCCAGAGGATGTGGGCGCACCTGAGCCTTGAGAACCATAAAGAAGTGATCGTTGTCATGGGTGTCGACGGCTTCGCAGTGGTTGCACAGGTCCTTGGCGCAGTACACGCAGCGGTACCATTCTCCGATAATACGGTGCATGCACCGATCGCACAGAGCGGACTTGTGGAAAAGCGTACCGAGATAATCTGAGCAGAATAGTATCAGTGGCTGATCTGGCCGGAGCCATCTAGACTCAGAGAGGTGGCAGTACCTTTCGGGCTCTGTGAGTTGTAAACTCCTCCGGTGGGACCAACGGGCACTTTGTACCTGAAGCGACAGATGTTTATTCAGTAGATCGGCATCGATGTGACCCGGATGACTCACAAAGGCGGCACCAGAGGGACGTCCCAATCAATGGGCGTGTCAACAGGTCTCGGAAGCTTGAAGAAGATGTGCATGGGGTCGTGGTAGACATACGAATGTGGTTCGCAGTTCGAGCACTGGTAAAAAAGACTGAGATAGATGATCCCGACTGTATCACAAAAGACTCACCAGGTTGTATGCGCTAGGTCTTGATGGACAAGAAGCACACTGATAGCGCACACCAACAATCATCTGGTGCGAGGACCTCGTAAGTCTTGGGGGGTCACAGCTAAGACGTGGTCATGAACGTACCGTCCTGCATTCGTTGCACTGAAGGCCGTGACTATCAGTCTCTCCCGCCACAGACGACGCGTTCAAAGAGGTGGTCGACCTCCCCCCAATGACCGTACGAGCGTACGACGATAAGAGTGAGTCGCGCCTTGACCTCGGACCTTCCATCTTCGGTCCGTCTGTGTTCCACCTCTCGATCGCTTGCCGACTTGCTACTTGGAGTTCGGTGTTCGACAGCGGATATGGAATCTGAAATTTCTCTCAGTACAATCACTACGCTGAGGACACGAGGCAGTAAACGTACCTTAATCATGATATGAGACGAGTTGTGTCCCCCGTCTGCAGAGTCCAAATTACCCGGCAGACCTGCGGAATCGCAGTTCGAACAGATGTCGACTGAGTTGCAGATCGCGCAGTGGAAACGCGCTCCGATGATCTCGCGCAAACAGCTGCGAGAACAAAAATATAGCAGTCAGTAACCGTGAACTCGAGTAAATACTTGAAACGTACTGAGTGCATTTCACGCCTAAGTGAACCATCGCTGCGGACAAGCAAATTTAGTGAGCTTTAGACCAGCACTACATTTGTGACAGCTGACTCACAAGGCTCTCCGGTGTTATCAGTGGCCATGGCCGAGATATCCATCGCGGGCTCGCTGCGCATTCGGATAGGCTTCTCAGGTAAGACGAGGAACGCGTGTGACGGATGAATCTCGTGGACCAGGCTACATAAAGAGGATGATTACGGAGATCGGTGCACATTTTCATCTGCACTCTTACCTATAGCAAGCTCGGCATAAGCTGAAGCTCTCACAGGAGAAGCACTTGTATCGCTTGTTGACGATAGGGACATCGCAAGCTGAACACTTCGGTGAGTGCAGATTGTCCTGCTCTGTACGGAGATCGTGAGTAACCACGTTCTCGTCCTGCTGACCGGGAAGCAATGACTACGCACCAACATCCTGCCAGCCTCGTGCACCCCACTGCTTCTCCGTGAACGCGTGGCGCAGTTGACCCCTCGTCTTCGGTGCGGACCTCTTCCACTGCGAGAATGCTCTCTGCTGCTCTTCGGGAGAGGGAGGCCAGTCGCCGTGGCTTGGAGAAGACCCCGGCGCGGCAGAGCATTCCAGCGCGTGGAAGACACCAACCGATTCGATGCAGTTAGCGCAAAGCTCGTACCCGCTGGGCTGGTTGACGTCGGTCCTACTTGAGCTGGGGATCGATAGGTATGGCGACGAGAGGGACTTCGGTAGATTGTTCGGCAGCGCGGGGAGAGGCTTGCCGTTTGGATCGTACTTCACCGCATGACCGTCATGGAAGGGATTGTCATCAGCGACGAGTGTCCAAGACGAAACAGATGGAGAAGTTCCAGCGCTGAGCATCGTGCGAGGTGGATAGGTGAATGGGTTGTTGATCGTCTCGGAAGATACATCCTTGCCCTTTCCTTTGCCGAATGCAGTATCGTC